GACATCGTTAGTGTTAGCCTATTCTATCGGGCCGGTAACTACCTATAAATAGATTGAAGTTTGATCGATGTCAAAGGTTGGGATGTTGCTGACGATTCGGCATGTGGATGCGTCTACGCAAAATGTCCCTGTCAAAGCTATTCCTATTACAGACGAGCAGCACATTTACTTACACTGTAACTAACCACATGATTATTGTTATATACATAATTGAAATATCATTGTATATCACATTTTTTAAGTCAATTGTTGTCTTATACGAATAGGATAAAAATGTGGCACCAGGAAAAAGGACACGGGACAAACAAAATATGCTTGCATTTATACAGCTGGGAAACTAACAAAACAATTCAACGAAAATTAAAACGTTTCCCCACAAAGAAACTTTTCAAACTATTTTGTTCATAACGTGGAATTGATTTATTACAAATAATTAAGTGTTGGAAAGAGAGCTGGAATTGAAGATATTAACACAACCATAAAAAGGAGACGACGGAGCTATTCGGGATAGGTCATGTTCTAAGGATGCCAAAGACAAGATTAACTTATCAGACCTAGTTTCGGAGACCAACTAGAAAAAGAAAAAGAGGAAGAGCAGCTGAAAGCTACAGAGGCACGATTAAGAATGAGGCAATCACCCAAGACCTGAATGTGCCGAAATTGGAGAACGTGGCCAGGAAGAGGCAAGTATGGCGCTGACTGCTCTCCGCCTTATGTACCTGACGATATAGGGAGAAATGGTGAAATGGTATGGGTTTTACGCCCCTATCAACACTATTAGGTTATTTAAAGGGCGGGACCTCCTAGTTTAACGTCCGAATCCGATAGGACCAAGTGGAAAGTTCGTGTAAAGTGTCTTTCCCAAGGACACAACGTCGGACAGAGCTGAGGCTCGAACCACCGAACCCGCAATCTCACGATTACGAGTCCGGTAGCCTAACCACTAGACTACCGACGCCACGATACAGGGAGAGAGTAAGTAGTAAGTTAGTAGGTTTATATAGCACATGGCTATTATTATTCTTGCTCTCCGGAGTCTTCAGTATGCTCTGTGATTGGAAACAAAAAGAATACACGAAGATCTAAAAGCCATGTCTACTTTTACTTCAGTCAAAATCATTATTCCCACAATTCTCACCCCCTCCAACAGGGAGACAGTGTGACAATGTGACAGATCAAATCACGCTAAGTCACGGACAGGATTTGCATCAAGGGCTATTTCGCGGTAACTGACGGGACATTTAGACTACACTTTCTTACAGTGACTACACTGTAATTCAATAGTAATTAATTTATTTCAACTTTAGATGGCCAGAACATTTGAAAGAAATATCATTAAAAATCAAATTATTATATGTAGTCATTGAGAACAAAATTATTTTATGCCAATGCTGCTTTTAAAAACTAAATTTTTACTCTATATTTTAGAAAAGTCTATCATTTCGACTCGCAAAGCGTAAACAAGCCGTTCTGTGAACTCACAGGAAAATACCAAACTTGCACTCCGCACGCTCATATGACGGTATGCTATTGTGGGCACTGTAAAACTTATACAAAGCAAAACTCTCACGATACTTTCACAAACTACCTTTCTTACACTCCATCAATAATTTCTCTCAGTATTCATCTCCCCCTTTCCCTACCCCCCCCCCCTCTCTCTATTTATCTCTCTCTCTTTCTCCAACCACCAACTGCCCTTCCCCACCCTCATTTATCTCTCTCTCTCTCTCTCTCTCTCTTTCTTTCTCTCTCTCTCTCTCTCTCTCTCTCTCTCTCTCTCTCTCTCTCTCTCTCTTGTCCTCTATTTCTCCTTTAACACCCCCACCTTCCCTTCAGTCTTTTCCCTCCTATAATTCTCTCTCGACACAGTAAAAGCAGAGTGCCTTGGAGAGATTAAACGAGAACCCCATCTATGGGGTAATGACTCACACCCAACACTTTGATTTGTGGTCAGTCAAGTCTTCGGATGCTAAAGGCCCGGGATAAACGCCCTCTAATACACACCTATAAGACTATTGGTAATCCTGCCTTTGAGTCGGAGGCGCTAACGTGCTTTGAGCGATATGGGTTCAATTCCCGGCCGGACCTGGGGAATAACAGAATAGTATCTCATAATTACTGTCAATAAAATAGTACAATGCAGGGACTGACGCGGTCTAAACAGGGTTAGTTTTGGTTTGGTGTGATTGTATTTGTGTGTGTGTGTGTGTGTGTGTGAGTGAGTGAGTGTGTGTGTGTGTGTGTGTGTGTGTGTGTGAGAGAGAGAGAGAGAGAGAAAGTTAGAGAGAGAGAGTGAAAAGAGAGAGAGATTTGTGTGTGTGTCGGAATGTGTTTGTGAGTGTGTGTGTGTGTGTGTGTGTGTGTGTGTGTGTGTGTGTGTGTGTTTGTGTGTGTGTGAGTGTGTGTGTGTGTACACGCGCGTGAGTGTGTGTGTGTGGGGGGGGGGGGGTAAGTGTTTGTGTGTGCTTGTATGTGAGGGGCGGGGGTGGGGGGGTTGTATATTTTTGTGTTCGGCTTATCGAAAACTGACAGGTTGTAACATTAAACACTAGTTTTTGGTTTGAATGGACACTGAAGAAAATGATATTGAGCATAGACATCTGAAGAAAATAAATAACAACAAACTGAACTGTACTAATTTATAGAAAATTATATAGAAATTAAAAATAAAACGCATCTGCTAAGGGAGTGTTTCCTGTTTTCATTCATAACCAAAACAAATACAGCCCTCATGTCATTTCAATTACTAATCAACGTTCACTAAAAGTAGATGTCGAAACTGGTGCTGATAAATAAATCAATATTGGTTTTGTCCCTCAATAAGTTGTTTTGGAAAATTATTTGCCACTGCCTTTTCTATGAAAGTAAAAGCATTCCTAAAATACAGTGATTATAAAGAAGTTGTCTCCACAATTTCTGAGGATATGAAAAATATTAACGTAATAATATGTAAGAGCGAATAATCTTGTTATGTGCTGTTTTTGATTTGGTCTTTTCATCTTTTTCCCCCCGTGCTATATTTTTGGATAAAAAAAAAAAATGCAAACACTGTCTATCATACCTCATAGAAAATCAAACTTCAAATGTAAAGTGAAGTTGATTCTTTTCAAACGACCACCTCTGACCTCGACCATCACTAAAACAAACGTCCTCTTCTCACTCACCTAGAGCTTTTATCAATGTTATAACAACAATGTAAAATATTTTATAAAAAATGACCACTCCTTTCCCTCCTCGACATTGGGTGGTTGACTCAAGCAATTTCGTCTGTAATTCTTTCTCTTTCTCCTGGTGTGATATGCCCGTGATATTTAAGTTCTCCCTCTCTCCGCCCAGCCAACCCTTAGACAACAATAAGACCGACTCATCCGAGTGACAATTTGCCTGAGCTCAAAATCCTTCTCGTTCGAAACCCAATCTGGAACAAAAACATCTTTAATCCGCTGTGAATCACACAATTTGGCTCTCATAAAATTAAGCTCCTACGATTTAAGCACTCTTGACCTTGACATTGATTTGTAGCCCCTTATTTCATAACGAAATGAGAGCGAGATAAAAGTACACCCTACCTTGTGTTTGCTTTCAGATTGTCTGTGTCACTTCGCTTGGTATACGTGGCTTCTGTTCTTTCTGCCGAAGGTTTCATATAACATTGCAAGTACTGTTAGTGTTGCTATCTATCTATCTATCTATCTATCTATCTATCTATCTATCTATCTATCTATCTATCTGTCTATCTATCTATCTATCTATTGCGTCTTCGTTTAAGCAACAATCAATGAGAATATTCTTAATTACAGTATTCAGCACTTATAGATATTGTAAAATGTACTCCAGAAAGCAATTTTTAAAAAAGGGTATGTATACGTAAATTACCTGTCCCTTGTTGTAGTACCAAAACCCTTTTATGGTCTTTTTTTCTAATTTAAAAATATTAAAGTCGTTAGGATTTTAAACGTTGCGAATAATGCGGAAAATACTTTTCATCTTTTAATTCGCATGAGCTTTGTGTAAATATTTTAGTAACTGATTTAATGAACCATACCTGTTAATGTATGGTTTTGTTTTTGGAAGGTTTTCCCTTTCTTTGTTATACAAGGTTTTTCTTTTGAGTGATTGCTTGCACGTGGATTAATAAGATTTATATTCACTTTCAGTTACTTCTTACCCATCACTCAGTGACAGTTGTGTAGCGGTTAGGTTCGTTGTCGGTGCAAGCAGAATGGGAGTTCAATTCCCGAATGAGGAAGTTTACCTATCCAGTATCTTATACGTCTTAAACATACATCGGCGATCATTATATGCATCTTGTCTCTCTGCTCGGATACTCTGTAGAAACCTTTGTCATTCTGTGTTGTTTTTTTAAGAGTCACACATCCGTTCAAGTTTTCTATGTAATTTTATCGTATTATTGGTCTAACTCTGCTATCTATATTTCAAGTTAAAGCAAGTTATCCAAGGCTTCATTTCAACGTAAGTGTCCCAAGAACGTTATTTGCCTATTCATACCTTTAAAAAATAGGGACTGACAATCCTGTTTCATTTAATTCATTTTGTTTCCAAGAAACTATAAAGTCTCCTAAAAGACAACAGCTCAGTTTGTATGATACTGGATTACGTATCAGATGGCCCAAGTTTAAATCCCAAACTGGGCGTTCTTCAACTCGGGTCTTATTGAGGAGTGTTCAAGGCATTGATCCAATTTGGTCTTTATCTTTTGGAGAATTACGTTAGATTCGGAGGTCTAGCTTCTTAAATAACCTAACAGTGCTAATTTGCTGAACTATTTTTTTCTTTGACATCCTCTCTCGAAATTAAGGTTCGAGGTGTGATCGCAGTGTTAATAGAGGCGTTAAACTTACTTGCACCCAGACACTGTATTTAATTTTTAAACCCTCCTTTCCAGTACTCAGAGTCGCATAGAACAGTCTGTCCAACCTTAGCTTCTTCAGCACTGTTTCCGACTTCTTTTATTTTCATTTCTTTCAGCGATAGACAAAATGACGTCACTGCATCATCTGCTTTATACCGCATTCTTCCCACTTCTCCTGTTTTCCTCGTCTGTGTCGCCCCAAGCCACCAACGATCTCACGAGAGTACCGGAAGCGGAGGGCGCCCTAGTTGTGTCTGCCAGCTTGGCTCTCATTCAGGGTTCGTGCGTGTTCTCTCACGACTTCCTGTTCCTCAGACGTCTGGCATATGTGGCCTCCAGTGACGGAACCAGCCCGAACACGTACAGGCCAGGTTATCACGGTGGCATCTGGCAAGTAAGTCACTGTTTTAAATAAAATGGTTTAAAGTATAGTTAGCCCCCCCCCCCCAAATCTACCCCCAGCCCCAATGAGTAATTAAATATATAGCGGAAAGGATTTTATGTTGCTGTTGTTTTGTTTTGTTTTTCCGTTGTGGGTTTTTTTAAGGGGTGTATATACACTACTTTCATCAAAATTGTTAGGAAAAAAATAAATGTTTTTTATCACTAAAATTGCAAATGCAATGCTTTTTTTAATAGGTAAAATAGAACGCAACGGGGAATTTGGCAGACACTTTTACAACGGATGAGTGACCACCCCGCTCCTCCCACATTTTTAAAAAATTGAAAAAATCCCCACCCAATGTCTGTAATATAACATTTCTGTTTGCACACGAGAAAAATGAGTTGCGGGGCCAGAATCAACGCTGTCTCCTATCGTTAACAATTTACTTTCATTGTCTATTGAAGCTTTATCCCCGGAGTTTTATTTCGGATAGTTTCATTCATAAAGAAACTATATTATGCATTCGTGATCGGAATTAGTTTTCACTGGCAGATAAGGGATCAGAATGCAAAAAATAAACGTTGAACTAATTATCTTTACATTTTATGCCTCGGCCAAGGACTCTCGGCCTATTACGGTGAACAAGAGATCGAACCTAGGACTCTGGACTCCACGTTTTAAGTCCAGCGCCTTGACCATTTTCTTTAGAAACAATCATCGCTGCTAAACCTCAAACAGAACCACCCCTCGTTTTTATTCTTTCTCAAGTGCAATCATTGTTTACTACTTATTCAAAGGCTCTAACCCACTGAAAATTTCAATTAAAATAAAATCTATTACTAATAATATCCTGTTGTTTTCCTTCCGTCCATCTTTTAAAGTTCATAAGGCAGGATACTCTTTGTTTAGCTCTCTTTATTTTATTTTTTTTTCTTCAACGAGAAAAAAATATATTAACTCAAAAGTAACAAAATCCTTCCTTCAGATCTCAGAGGAGAATTTCACCCAGACTCACCATGTGGCGACTGTTGACTACGACAACATGCTCAAAGCTCTACAGGTCAACTGGACACAGGCTGAGTGGTCAGACCTAAGAAAACCACTTTACTCGGGGATAGCTGCCATGTTGACTTTAGAGAGGTGAGGACGCTGACCTGCGTCCGAAAAGATTCAAAATGTGGCTTTGGCCATCTAGTGTTAACCGTCGAACTGAAAATCTTGACCTTGCAGGTTCGGGGTTTAAAGCTCAGTTCGGCCAGACGTTATATTATGTCTAAGTAAAAGCACTTTGAACGAATTTTGATCACTTCAAGCAGGTGTTAATGGGTACCGGCTATAGACAGCGAAAGAACTTGTCAGTGTTTTAGTGCCATCAGCGCTTTCAAAATTGCAGCTTGAATTGTGTTCAACACAGGAAGTTGAGATTGTTTCAGAATGCTGTCGGGTCTGCAAGGATAATGATAAGTATTGTAAAACGCATAGAGCTTGTTCCTATTTTTGATACAGTATCAAGTGTATACTATTAATAGTCCCTGTCTACTAGTCTCTTTGGGCCTGAGAGATTATATAAAAGAATTATTTGTACTGACATACGTATTAAATTCTGTTAAGTTTGTTTATTTGCTTTGTTGTTAGTTTTTTAAAATATACATTAGTTTATAGTATGTTGCTGTTTTTCAACAGATCAAAACCTTTTCTCTTAAACTGAAATGAAAATCTCGTAAATTTGGTAACATATTTGAAGATGCAATAAAATAACACACCGTTTCTTATTTATACCGATAACAAGAAATTTGAATTTACAAAAAGAAATAAAAAAATAATATGTACTATTATTAGACTTCATTGTGTTTTGACCCTGACTCCATGATCAACCCGCGTGCTGCAATCCCCTAGGTTTGGTCCTATCCCACGAGACGCCACCGAGCAAGCAGAGTTCTACGAGCAACACCTAGGTGGTCAGGCCAAAGTGTTTACGGACGCAGTCTCCAAACTCAGCACTGGTGAGAAGTACATATTATATGGCAGTTCTGTTCTTCGCGCCATTCTAACTTACTTACTTCATAGTAATACATGTAATAATAATG